TCCGTTTCTCTTTTTATAGCTATGAAGGATCGTAGAATGTTTAGGATAATGAAATAATGCTAGTTGTCAGTCCACTTTAGAAGGTGGAAGAACAAATTTCCTGCGATATCCCTGAATAACAGGTGGCATTTCCTGATACATTGTTTGTGACCTTCAGATAAACTTTTATTTTGAGCTGACTTTGGAAAATTGGTATAGCGTCAAGGTTAATTCTTCAGACTAAAAACAGCTAGAGAGATCCTCATATAGCTGTTCTGTGAAACAGAGACAGCTCTAGGGTTGTCATATTTGTTGAGCTTTTTAATTTTATTTTGCAAGATCTCAAAAAAGAGAGAAGTTTTGGAGCTATTTTTAAGAAAACTCGACAAAATCTACACTTCCGACATGTCTGGATTTTCCTGGACATTTAAGTGATTCCAGTCTGGACACTGACATTGTTTCCAATGGCCAAATCCTGGCAATGTCCGAGAAATTCCGGACATATGGCAACCCTATGTCCCCCTTGCATCAGGGCTAGCTGAAAATGCACTAAGCTTCCTTTTGAACTCGAAGGGGTGCGAATTTGAAAGGTCCTGAGTCTGTTTTTAATGGACAGACTAGGATCTAAAACCAGCTTCACAAGCATAGTGTTTTCAATAACTTTTCTTTGATGGAAAGAGGGTATACTTTTGTCCCTGCGTGCTAATGTTCACATTCTATGTTTGAAAAAAGTATGCAAGCTTATTCCTATTTCATGAGAACAGTACTCAAAAGAGAAGATGCTTACATTAGCTGGATTTCCTTTAGTGAGCACAGAATTACACACTTGATTATGGGCAGATGGCAATTGTGGAAATCGTTCACTGTCATAAGTTTCTTTTCTTTTGTTAAAAAAAAATTGTATTTATTTATGAAACGGACCCAATAGTCACTGAGTCACTTGATCTTTTCCCCAGTGGTCACTTTGCATTCCATATGAGTGAGCGCATAAAATACTCGTCTATTTAAACAGTGCCCCAGCCAACATATGTTCAAATTACATCCAGAGTCTACTTGAAAGCAACCCCTATTTTTAACTTCCCTTTCGGGCATGTTGCACATAAAAATAATTAATTGTTCGAAGTTCAGTACAAGATAGCCCACTTTCACAAGAGATTTTTAAATCTGGTTTTGAATTTCCATTGTCTCCGCAATGACATCACACCAACCTGCATTATGCATGTTTAACAGTTAGACATTCCTAAGCTCTTTGAAGTACCATGTGCACTGTATTCTCGTGAAGGGGTAGTTGTGCCCCCCAGGAGCAGACTGCAGATGCTTCCCCCTTGCCATGATGAAGATGATAATTGGCCACCAGGAGCGCACATAATATTCTGCACCCACCAAATCATTTTAATTAAATAACTACGTAAAGGTAAAGGGACCATTAGGTCCAGTCGTGGCCGACTCTGGGGTTGCGGCGCTCATCTCACTTTATTGGCCCAGGGAGCCGGCGTACAGCTTCTGAGTCATGTGGCCAGCATGACTAAGCCGCTTCTGGCGAACCAGAACAGCGCACGGAAACTCCGTTTACCTTCCCGCCAGAGTGGTACCTATTTATCTACTTGCACTTTGATGTGCTTTCGAACTGCTAGGTTGGCAGGAGCAGGGACCGAGCAACGGGAGCTCACCCCGTCGCGGGGATTCGAACCGCTGACCTTCTGATCGGCAAGCCCTAGGCTCTGTGGTTTAACCCACAGCGCCACCCGCATCCCCCAAATAACTACATATATAAGATCTAATCAGGTTAAAACTGGTTGCTTTCAATATTGCATGCAGTGTTACCTATGTGCATGTGCTGTGCATGTTTTTAAATGGGCAGAGAAATCCTGCCAGTGGATCAGGGAAGATTTGATGTCACAGGAACTCAGATACCCAAAACTTTTTCCCTCTTGTTTTCCTTTCCCATTTTGTTTTGGATTTTTACAGTGTCACTCCCATAGCTTCCAGCGAGAAGGGGCAAACCGTTTTGGGTGCAAAGCAGAACAGATGCTGTATCACTGAGCTATGGCTCACAGTTTAAAACATCTTAACTAGACCCTAGACATCCACTAAGAGTCAGTGCAGTTGTCATAACTGATGTGATAGGTTCCGCATGCCCCATCCCAGTTATTTTTCTAGCTGTTGTATTTTGCATGGGTGGCAGTTTCTTCCAAGGGCAGCTCATGTAAAATGCATTGCAGCAATATTAACCAGAGCATGAATAACGTTGCCTCTCTCCACGAGTGGTTGTAGCTGGCACTCAAGCCTACAATGCTAAAAGGTGTTTCGTCTTACTAAGACTGCTTAGGTTAGATATAATAGCACCTCCAGATTATGAACCTGGTACTTCAAGGGGTCTGCAACCCCATCTAAAACAGACCAAACACCACCTTTCGTTCTCTTATTAGAACAGAGTTTGCTTGGTTATCTCTCTGTATGCAATGTGTTATTGAGCAGTATTGAAAACAACTAATAAGTTCAGTCTGCTTTATGCCGAATTCAGTTAAAGCAGAATGAGGCTCCATGTCAGTTTTGTAACAAATATTTGGTGTCAATTTATTCCCCACCTCCAGCTAGCCAAAATCCCTCTTACCCCTCTTCACTGGCGGAGTGAAGGAGGGTGTGGTAAGTGCGGGCCATCCCAGGTGTCATCCCTGAAGGGGGGGTGACATCGCCGCCCCGCCCCCTGGGATGCTAGCCCCGCCCGCTGGGCAGCTAGCCCTGCCCCGGGTGCACAGCACATGCGCTGCTCCGGGTCCCAGAGCAGCTAGCTCCACCTCTGCCCCTCTTATCTGCCCCTTTGATCTAGCATTGTTCTTTCATCCCCATTTCTCAATTCTTGGGTGTCATTCTAGAATGAAGTTCAAGAGACAACCTGGTGTTAACAACAGCATGTCTTTTCCAGAAGTGAGACCTTTTGCGCCATTATTTAGCCCCTATCCAGTCCCTGGATTCATTTTGAGGTGAGAACATGGGAGGATGGCAAACAGCTCCTGTTGCCTACAGCCATCACTCATTCCATAGACCTCTTGCCTCTAGTCGAGCAACTAGTAGCAGATGGGATTTGGCACTTGGGCTTTTAGTTGCTGACTCCGAGACTACTCTGTCTCTGAGTCTAGTTTGGCCATCATTGTAATAGGGTATATTGATAGACGAAACCATAAATTTTAATCGCCTGGAGTTTAGTTATAAGGCAGAGGGTATGGGACTTTCTGGAAAAAAGAGCAATTGGAATCTATACAAATAAAGTTTTAGTGCTTTGTTAGGTGTGCCATCAGGCACTCTTGCTCCTTTTGGGAACAGTAGTTGTTTTTATGCCTGTCAAGATAAATATTCTCATGGCAGTTATTACTTTCTGGAACAAGTGCTGAGTTACAACCGGATCAGCTGGGGACACTGCTGTGAAACTAAAATGTAGACTTTTGATATTGACTTTCAAAACACAAGGGATTGATCTTTGGGGCAGGTTTATAAATTAGTTAAAGACAGGTTGAAGGGGGAAATATGTGCATGAGTATAATGGATAATAATTTAGATGTGGTTGTATTCACCCTGCCAGCCTTATTTTAATGCATTGCAGTATTATCTTTTGAGATCTGCCTTTAAAGGCACTTATTGGAATGCAAGTCTTATTGAACACAGCGAGGCATATTTCTGAGTAAAATGCACAAGATTGGACAGTAATAGTTAACTTGAAAGGTTTTCGTGGCCTTTGGGTTTAAAACCAATGTCCCAACAACATTCAAAGGAAATGATATGTCTGAATCTGTGGAGCCAGGGCAATTGAAAAAGATTTGCCACAATGTGTTCCTTTGTGGAATCTGTAGGGAACCTCAGGAAAAGAGAACTGTGAATCAGTTAGCCTGAATGTCTAGTACTGTATTGATAAGATGCTTCTAAAGAAAGATAATTTATTGGCTAATCAAATGTTATATTTGGGGTTGCCGGATTTGCAGTGGGTTACAAAGAAGTGTGCAGAACTGGGAATATGTTGACGCCAATGCAATAAATTGTAAAGATCTTCTAATGTGTTTATATATGGCTCTCCTTGAGCTGGCCCCTTCATAAAACAGGCATATGCTTTCTTTAATATGGATGTAGCTGTTGCTAACCTGTTGGAAGTGGATTTAAACATTTTGCTCTGGATTTTGAATGGAAACTTTCTCAGTTCATTTTTATTGCAATGACCAATTTTTTGGTTAAACAGCACAGTTTTGATTTGGAATACAGTAGAAGCTGATAACGTCTAAAAATGCAACACATATCTCCACTATTGAAGAGGCTATAATTGGTGCCTCGTGAGCAGATGTCTGACACCCCCATTCTGTAGATGAAGGAACTTTATAACACTCTGATACAAACCAATTAGTTGAGCCTACAAGCTAATGCTTATGCAACATATTGTACACAGATGACAAGATCAGTTGTTCCCACACAAACTTAAAACACGTGGTCGCAAAAGGTGATGCCCTCGACTACGAGAAAAGAAGGTTGCTATCAGCAAAATAAAAAACTTTCAGATGTTGTTTCGTCTTTTAACTAATTAAATCTAGCCACAACAAATGTACTGATTAAATATCATGAAAACAAAAGAGAGTACAAGAAGGTGAGGTCCCCTGTAACTGAAAAAGTTATAGCTTTTTAACTAATAGGAAGATGCACAACTTTCAGTTGTGTTTCCCATTTATGAACCACAATTTATATCAACTTGTGGGTGTTGTGTTGCATCTAGAATGCACTTTCTGCAAACATAAATGTACCACCTGTCTTACTGAAGGCTTTGGATTGAGTAAAGGGATCCCATCAGCAGTGGGGAGACAACTTTTTCCACTGCCCCCCTCTCCTTAGCCACACCGTTATAGAAGGTCCTATAAACAATTGGAGGAGATTTGGACACAGGGGCCCATGCCATACCAATTTTCAGCGTCAGGCAAAGATGGGCCTGATGGATGTTTGTATTGTGATTATGTTTTTAATATGTCTATATGTTTTTATTACAGTACAGTCGTACCTTGGCTCCCAAATGCCTTGGGAGTGAAACATTTCAGCTCCCAGACAGCCGAAAACCGGAAGTGAGTGTTCCAGTTTTCGAATGTTCTTTTGGAAGCCAAACGTCCTATGGGGCTTCCGCGGCTTCCGATTGGCTGCAGGAGCTTCCTGCAGCCAATCGGAAGCCGCACTTTGGAAGTCGAACATTTCGGAAGTCGAACAGACTTCCAGAACGGATTCTGTTCAACTTCGGAGGTACGACTGTATTGTTTCTGGTTGTGAATCATTTCAGGACTTGATGTAGTAGGAAGCAATATGTAAATTCAATAAAAGGCCTTTTTCCTTTTGTTTTTAATAACCCCCCAAACTCATAGATTCAAGTCCAAGTTTTTAATATTTGAAGTTTTATTCTGTTTTAAGTGTTCTGTTGGAAGCCGCCCAGAGTGGCTGGGGAATTTTAATAATAAAATTATTATTAATAATAGTAATTTGCAAATATGGAACATGATATGATAGGGAAGCAATCATAAATTGAAAAAATGTTTACGCTGTCTATTTTGTATGTTCTGATTTGAGCCGAAATTACAATGTCACCCCGTAGACCTAGATAATTATGTTTTGAATCAGAAAGAGTAATTTATCAGATAGCTGAAATTTAGATTGAGCTAGTAAGTAATGAATCAATCTTTACACAAATGAGCTCCTTAACAAGAGAAGTCATGAAACTAACAGTGGCAAATTGCAGAGGTTTTACCACCGTCTCAAAAAGCCCAAGTGAAATATTCAGAGAGGGGCAATAGCTTGGTGGTAGAGCACTTCGCTGGTTAAGGACAATAGATCAGTTTCAGCTTTAATCCTCCGTACCTCCAGCTAGAGCCTCTCCAAGTGGAGAGCTGAGAGTCTGTGTTCTCCTTTCTCTTTTCACTGCCACAACATTTTCTACCTCTGGCAGTGGCTACCCAAACTCTAGCCCTGACTGGGATATTTAAATGCACACTTCAAACAGCAAATGAGTTGTGGGTAGCAGGTAAGTGGCTGGGGTGGGCCTTCTCACTGTACAATGAAAGATCCCTTATTTCAATATAATGTTTATATTGTTAGCCTGAACTTTGTAGGCAGAACTTTGCCCTGCTGAATATGCTTGTAACATCTTGGAAGTGTCAGCTGCCTGAATGGGCTTTTTGTGGGAATACATTTGAATTGGAAAAGAGTAATCCATCAAACCATATTTGAGGAGTGCTGCTGTTCCCCATAACCTTAGGAATAAAAAGTAATGCTTATATTGCAATTGGCTAAATAACATTGTACTCCCACAGTGCAACCCCCTGAGATTGTGTGGGTTTTCCTATAAAACTAGGTCCAGAAAAAGTCAAGAGAAGTCAGTTTAATAAACCCATAAATAACATTTGAATTATCCTACTAGTATCATTGGTATTAAATTCTACAAATGGAGCCAAGTAGAACGAAAAGGAAGAATATAGTGTTTATTTATTTTTTAATGAAATTCCACAGATTCTTCATAGGTTACTATTGTTCAGGTTTATGAGTCTGTACAGAGTACTGTTAAATCTCCTTGACCAATATAAGGGTCAGATTTTAGGATGGATTCCAGCCACTCATAGCTCTCTGTGTTCACAGACATTAGGGTGGCTACTTAATTGCAAACATGAGGTGAAGAAGGCAGAAATCATGACCTTTTGTTCTAGAGTCTAGGGGACATAATAAGGTAAAGGTAAAGGTACCCCTGCCCGTACGGGCCAGTCTTGCCAGACTCTAGGGTTGTGCGCTCATCTCACTCTATAGGCCGGGAGCCAGCGCTGTCCGCAGACACTTCCGGGTCACGTGGCCAGCGTGACAAGCTGCATCTGGCGAGCCAGCGCAGCACACAGAAACGCCGTTTACCTTCCCACTGGTAAGCGGTCCCTATTTATCTACTTGCACCTGGGAGTGCTTTCGAACTGCTAGGTTGGCAGGCGCTGGGACCGAACGACGGGAGCGCACCCCGCCGCGGGGATTCGAACCGCCGACCATGCGATCGGCAAGTCCTAGGCGCTGAGGTTTTACCCACAGCGCCACCCGCGTCCCCAGGGGACGTAATACTTTAGCACAAACGTCACAAACAGCCTGGTCCTATTAGCGGCCCCTGAGTCAGGTGCAGAAATAAAATTAATGGAGCTTTAAGACTTACTTTCTTTCTTTCTTTCTTTCTTTCTTTCTTTCTTTCTCCATCCACTTCCCCACCTCCTTCTACTCATGTACAGTGTGAGGTGCAGCCATTGTCAGCTTGTGTTAAAAAGATTCTGGGTACACTGTCAACTCCAGTTGGTTTTAATTAGGAATGGATGGAATGGAACACTTTAAGTTCTGAAACTGTTCAGGGACTTCCAACTTCCAGTTGGTTCCACCCTGGTGTAATTCCTGTTAGAAATCCAAATTTTAGAACATAAGTGGTATAAAGAAAATAGCTGTTTGGTTTGGAGTTTGTTTGTTGTTTTAAATTTTTTCCCACAAGTGTGTGTTATTGTATATAAAATAGATTTCGATCATATGCAAAGTAGCAGAGTAGCTTACAGCTAGGAAGCTAAGTAACTCTTCTAAGTGATTGATAGCTTCTTTGTAAAGACTATACATTGTCCAGACTCTTTATATTCAAAAGAACTTTATTTTCATAAACATAACTGAGAAGAATATATTTATAACCTCATCCTTATTCAAACATAACTAAATTCTCACTTGAATACTAATTTGAAGTCTTCTTACTTAGACTTAAAAGCAAAATGGCGTTGCAACTTGCACCAGAGTTTTTTTTCCACCTCACTCAGGTCTTACAGTTTTTACTTTCACCTCAGCAGTATTCTCTTTGTTCCTTACAGAGAGCACCTGCACAGGTTTCTCCCTATTAGCATTTGGGGAATCTTCCTCTGTCTGTTTCGCTTCAGACAGATCCCACTGACACAGCACTGTCCTCAGCAGTATACTTAGAAGCCTCTCTCAACAGCCATTCTCCCTCACAGACAGAGAGCAGTTAAAAACAACAGTTACTGGAATAACAGTCACAACATAATGGAATGCCTTTCTCGTGACTCACAGGCAGCCAATCACATGAGAGCTACTGCCAGAGTGGGGGGGGGGGAGCCACGTTAAAAGTACACAGTAATTCAACATAAGTAAATATTCCCATTTCAGAGAATTAAATCATTATCCTTAACAGTGTGCACTTGTGAGGATAGCTCCACCCAAGTCATTACGGAGATTGAAAGAGGCTCCAGTGTAAAAATGCCTGGTGGGACGAAAGTAATAACTCACTATTGAAGATCTTGGAGGAAAGAGGTTCTTCCACTGCAAGCTGCTTTTTGACACTTACATTTATTCATAATATGGTGATGATAATGGGTCAGCTTTACAGGTTGGTCATGAAGACAACTGTATCTGAAAAGCTTTCAGCAGTTTGCAAAAGGGTTGCTATTTATTATTTATTAAATATAACTACTGCCCTCCATCTGTGGATCACAGGGCAGTTTACAGAATAAAAACACCATGTTTCATATGGAGTCTGTGAACAGTCCAATATCTGGAGAAAGGTTTGCTTTCTCCAACATTTGATAACTCCCCAAAAGAAGTTGGCATGAAAGGATGATTAGTCACAAGGCAAACTCCAGGGGCCACCTCCATAGTCAGAGGTCCTCCAGACTGTCACTGTTTTACAGAAGGATTCAAGCGCATACCGGAAATTCAGGTTTGCACATTTAAAGTAGATTAAAAGGCTCTGCTCCTAGCACAAGTCCACTTCAGAAAAAGAAACAGATTTATGTATTTATTTATTTGGGAAAGTGATGCAGAAATGATTTGAAAAGAGTGGGATGGATGAATGGCTATCAGGAAGATGTGTCAACACCCTCCAAACAAATCAGGAAGAATGCTCCCTGTTGTATAACTTTGAAAACAAATTGGAATGAATGCTCAAGAAAGGCCAGATAGAATCTAACCTCCATGTAAGCTTTGTACAAGCAAATCAGGACGAGTGCTCAATAAAGTGATCCTCTGGAAGGTCCCTCAGTCTTTCCCTCCTCTCTCAAAAAGTGTGTCTTACCTCCCAGCATCCAGATCCTTCTACCTCATTTCTTTCTTCTCTGTGTGCCTATTTGGGGACTCGTCTACACTTCTGCTTGTCCTGCCACTTTCCCCCGGGGAAAGCCACTCTTTACTTCTGAATTGGAACAAATGTCAGTTGGGTTTTCTGTGGATTGATGTTTGCTCCGATTCAGCAGTAAAGAGCAGGCTGTCCAGCAGAGCAAACAGGAAACCTCTCAGACCTGTGCTTAAGATCTAAGCTCCTCCTTTTGATCCCGTCCACCATTACATCTAAGGAAGACTGTTTGAAATCGCTTCTTGTGGACGCAAATCCCCAAATTTCACGTGGGGTGGCAATCTTCATAGTGCAGGCTCTGAAACTCAGGGCTACTCTGACAGGGTAGCGTGCCCTAGACCTGGACCTGTTTTAATTCTTTTATTACTTTTAACTCAATGTGCTGAGTCTGTTCTGGGACCATTTTGTGCTTTATATATATCCGCATATTAGTTTTTGGCGCTGGCTACTATATCTTTGCATTATAGTCTTCGGGTAACTTAAATGTCACTACGCCAGCAAAATCGCCTGAATTTTGCTTGGTTGCTTGTCTCTAGTTTGTCTTTTTTTTTTTTTTTTTTTTGTATTGTCTTATTTTGCTATGGCTGTATGCTAATGCAATAAAGGTTTGATTTACTAGCTGTGGGATGAGCAAAGTGTGGACAAACCCAAGTCTCTCATGCAGGTTGCACTGGCATGTCCTGGAATACAGGGAAATGATTTAGCCTTCCCTCTTAAGTAAAAGGTAAAGGGACCCCTGACCATTTGGTCCAGTCATGACCGACTCTGGGGTTGCGGCGCTCATCTCGCTTTATTGGCCGAGGGAGCCGGCGTACAGCTTCCGGGTCATGTGGCCAGCATAACTAAGCCGCTTCTGGCAAACCAGAGCAGCACACTGAAATGCCGTTTACCTTCCTGCCGGAGCGGTACCTATTTATCTACTTGCACTTTGACGTG